TCCCTGAGTCATTGCAAAACACTGTGGCTAAAGCAAGGTTGCTAAAGCATCGGCTGCCTCCCAGCATGGGGAGTTTCAAGTTTCAAGTGAAGATAAACTTGTGTTCACTTGCTCCTGCTTTGTCAACTGAGCTTGAAATCACTCAGATTTTGGTTGTAATGATAGATGAAAGATACTTTACACTGTATAGAGTTCTCCTATTATGAAAAGAGGGCTCTTGCATATATTATAGCTTTGTCTTTCTTTTGGCTAGCTGCATAGTTTCCTTTTACCTAGCAGGGAAACTTGGTTTAATTTAAATCGGCATAGTTACCAAGAGGTTTATTTTAACGAGAGGTCTGTGAATTCAGTGACTATTTATATTTTGCAACTTCTTAAGTGTTCCCAGTACGGTGACACTGAACCAGGTTTCATCAGAGTTCAGTGCCTCTTGACTCACGATCATCTCTGTTCAGTCTGGCTGCAGATGGGGGCAAATGTTTGAGTTCAGTTTGCTCATTACCATAAAAACAGGCGGGCTGCAAGTTACAACTGGATCCACTTACTCAGCAGCAGGACTTTCCTAGTAACTCCTTTGTTCCTGCAACTGATAACATTTACCTTGGGAAAAGAAGGTGCCAGCTATCTGAAGGTGATAGTTAAAAGAAATCCATCACTGAAAAAAAACTTTTGATCTTTTTATTATATTTGGAAGATGGATTTATTTTCTTTTTCTGCAATTTCTACCCAGCATCTCTCCACATTAGTTTTAATTTATGAATTAAAATTCTGTGGAATGTAGTAAAGAGACAGTGTTCATTGGTCCACCAGCAATGCACCAGTTATTATTATTTTTTTAAATTTTAATTCTGTTCTTGCTCTGACTACCCCATCTTTCCACCTGGAAAGTACCTGGTGAAACACAGCACTGTTGACTTGACATGTCAGCCCTTTTTCCCTTACATGAAAGAGTCATGTAAAATCATCATGTGATGCCTGCTGCAAACAGAAGGAGCAAAGGAAAGAGCAGGGCATAAGCTGCCTTTGCAGATAGGAAATAATACCCCATGGTCATATGACATAATCCTGGAATTAATGACCCATCAAGTACAAGTCCCTGCAGCAGCTGCACTTTAGTCTGACAAATAGCATTGTATAAAAACTCTGAATATTTTTTTGAATAAATCTACTCAGGATATAATTTTTCCTGCCTAGATATATTTGTTTGAATGCCTTTTTAAAGGCTTTTTCAAGGCATGGTTGGATGGAGCTCTGAGCAACTTGGTCTAGTGGAATATGTGCCTGCCCATGGCAGAGAGATTGGAATGAGATGAGCTTTAAGGTCTCTTCAAATCCAAACCATTTTGTGATTCTGTGATTAAAATGTACATCATTGGCTTAAATATGTAGGGTATTTTTGGGGTGCTCTGAAATTTTAGAAATAAAAGGCTATAAGAAATACAATAAGGCTATAAGAACCCTTGTAGTACTAAGCCTGATATAAATCTCTGGATGTTTAAATGTTACCTGTAACATAATTTGATGCATTTAAGGTAGGTACTGTTTTTAAAAGGGTATGGGGGAGGGCTTGTTATTTTTTTTTTTTTTAATTTTATATATATTTATATAAAACTACCACTTAAAATTATACAAAGATAAAATAACAATCTAGTCAGGCTTTTTGTAATAAAACACAGAAATGCTGATGTCAGTCCTCTACCTTTCCATGACACATCTACTTTATGGTTTAGCTCAACATTTAACTGTGGTTAAAACTGCTTCAGTGAGGGCTCACATTTAAGTGTTTTAATGTTTGCTTTTCTCAGTCAGGAAAAAAACCTCAAATGGTTTATTGTTTAAAGCAAGGGGATTTTTGTTGAATGGGTATTTTCCAGATTCCCTCATAAAATCAGTTTCTCTTTGGATCTGAGAGAAAGGCTTATAATCTAGTTGCATAGTTTTTCCTGGGGAGAATTTTGAGTGAGTACAGAAAAAAAAAGGTTACTTTTCTTCTGTAATGGAGAGTTAACACCAGATTTGGCCTGTATCAATACTGTAGCTGGGACATCTGTCAGTGTTTCCAATGTACATACTTTCTACTTGATCTAGATCTTCTGTCCTCATGCACTTTGCATTGTTGCAGTCATTTTCAAGCTGAACTCAAGGCCCTCTCCCTAAGACCCCACCACTTAGCTTTACAGCACCTAAAGAAGGTTTGAATACAAGAAAACTCAATCTAAGGTATCTTAGCCTTATAGCACATCTTGGTTTGTTATGTGTGTCTGCACTGACACGGGGAATTTGACTGAGATGTTTGCAGTATGTTTCTACAATAGCGCTGTGCTATAAATAAATAAAATCCATTTTGCCAAATTGCCTAATGGAACACATTTTTCTGTGGGGTGGTGGGGCTTTGTAAGAATTCTTCATTTGTTGTTCAGGCCTTCAGAAATTATGATGCTGGCTTCTGAAGTCATGACATCTGGCACATAAACTACATTTGGCACATAATTATCTTTGTGGTCATGTTCATTTACTTTCCGGTTTGGCGATTTGGGTTTTTTATGTGCCAGCTTCTGGCTGTATCTGAAAACATGGAGATTTCTAATATTATCCTCAATTTAGAGCTGAATCAGGGCTTTTTAATACTGTAGAAAAATATTTTTGCCCTCTAATCACTAAGGGAGATACTGTCCTGGACACTGATCCCTCTTGGCGGAAAAGGCAGAGAGGAGCTGTTTTGGCAGCCTGTGCTGATTGTTCTGCTGGCTCCCCTCTTCTCCAGTGCAGTCAACACAGACCTTGGGCAGGTGACACCAGTAACCAGTCCTTGGCTTTCTTTTCATTGTGTTTTTTATTCTTATTATTCAGCCCAGACTTGAAGGAACTAATTTACTTAAAAGCTGAGATAAAATCAGGTTGATGATAATGCAGAATGACTGCTTACTCACTATTGCAACACAGCCTTTCCTTCTACTTCCTGCCTGTTGTTTCAAACTTAAATGGGAGGTTTGCATCCTAGGCACCTTTATATTACCTGGGACAATAGGATTCTGCTTTACACCATGGAACTGCCATACCAGCTTTCATTTTTGCCATACATACATAGTGTTGTATAAGTATCCAACAGAAAAGTACAAAATGCCACTCTGTAACTATTCCCAAGTTTTACATTGTTTAAAGCTGTGTTTGGCAAGTAGACCTGAGACATTTCTTTGTATTCAAGAGTAGCTGGACAAGTAGAGGGCAGGAGCCAAATCTGTTTTTCCAGACTACGTAACCCTGGGTGTGGTTAAAAGATGAATTAACCACTTTTAAATCCCTGTTGGTGCCAAAAAGGATATTGTTCCCAGCCTTGTGTTGATGTCTTCTCCCCAGCAGGTTGGCACTGCTTCCCTCCCCATGCAGCCAGCTGGGTTGGAACCTCATCCTGCTGAATACTTTTTTAGGAGGGTTCATTCTTAGGTGGTTCCTGTTGTGGCCATATGACCAGGGGAGCAGTGCCAGGAGAGACATGGTCAGCAGGAATGAACCCTACAGGACAGGAGCAAACAGGATCTGCTGCCCCTTTGGGTGGCAGCTTCATCTGAAACTAATCCACCAGGTGGATTTTCACAGTTAAAGAACAGGAAAAATGGTGATAAAACAGGGATTTTTGTGCGTGCAAAGATTCCTATTGAAATTAAAGATTTCCTATTTGGAAAATATCTTGATCTGTTTTTGTTTTTCTATACCATGAGAAGGTGACATGCAGACCTCCAAGATACATTTTAGCCTATGCAAGGGTGGGAGTATAAAGGTTCAGTGTACATAAATCTGGGCAGATGTGCTGATCAGCAGGACCTCCAAGCCTTTAGCACCAGTCCAGTAAGAGATGGAGATGACAGAGGGAGATGGGGGTTTTAGCTGCCTTTGATGACATTAGAAAAAACCACAATAGTTCTCTGTGTTGCAATGTGCTTGGCATTGGTTTCTGTGTAGCTCTAATCTGAGAGCAAAAATATTCCAGATACTCGCTTGTTTTGGCTGACTCGGCAGATTAAAATCTCTTTTGTCTTTTTCATGGGATTTTCCTAAAGGAAGTAACACAATCTCTGCAGACAAAACATTCTTTAACAAGGTGTAAAACAAGCCAAGGGAGTTTTGATTCAAGTGGCCACAGCCTCTGATTCATAGCAGGGTTGGGTTTGGGGATCCCCCCAGCATGCTGGAAGTGATGTGTGCCCCATCAATTCCTGCAGTTTCAGGCTCTATAAACCAGCCATGTAAGGAACTTTTAGGAAAGGTATGTTTTCAAAGTGTTGCATCAATTTTCTCATTAAGCTGCCAAAGTTTCCCTCATTTTGCCAATGAAAGTACACAAGAAACACCAAATAATTCTGTGGCTTTTGGCATTCACACCTGCAGCAATCCTAGTTGTTTGTACCAGCCAGCATCACGGAACAGACACCAGTGCAAATTACTGTCTCTAACTTGTTCTCTTTCCCCATATCTTTGAAATCACCTGCTTTGTGCATTGCAGTGACCCTCAGAATAGAGATGTTACCACTTGGTAGAGTTAGAAGAAGGATCTCATTCCTGGTTCTAGCCAAAGCTGACACAATTTAATCAAGGCAATATTTATTTTAGAAGCATTAGTCCTAATGGGTCTTTGGCTCTGATTCTTGAGCAGTGCTGTAATCTACTTGGATATCCAAATATCTCAGCTATGAGGTATTTACTGTGTGGCTGTCAAACATGCTGTAAACTTTGAGCTACTACAATTAATCACCATCCTACCAATGCTCTGTGTGCAAAAGTAGCTGCTTTGGGCCTTTGATATTAAAAAAAACATTAATAAATCATTTTTAAAGCTTGGTTCCATCAAAGGGTGATATTCTCCAATGTTGCTGTTTCTGGTTTTCTGTGTATGCATCAAAACCAATGACTTAGTGGTTTCTGGTTTTTTTTTGGTTTTTTTTTTTTCATTTTTACTCTATAGCTTCCTATGAAATTATGCTTCTTTTTTCTTTTCTTTGTAGGTAACAGAGACTTTGCTCCTGATGATCCACTGGAATTTAAGTCTCATCAGTGGTTTGGAGCCTCTGTGAGATCCCAAAATGATAAAATTCTGGTAGGTCTTTGATGCCCTTCAGATGCATCAGTACTGAGATATTACAGTGGAAGAAAATGCAAAGAGATCCAGATAGCCTAGAATTTAAACAAAATTAACCTCACTAATCAGCATGAATTGTCTTTTCTTCAGAATTTCTTAGCTAAGCTTTGCTCAACTCTTTATAACCAAAGGTAGGAGTATTTTTTCCTAGTTTTAAGGCAAGCAGTAAAATTAGTTTGATGAAATTAGAATCTGTTATAAATTCTTGGTAAACACTTCACAGCTGTTGCTTTAAGAAAATATTATTTCTAAAATTCTTGATAAACATTAGCTATTTATAAAATAAAAACTGATGGTAATTCTGCCCCACTGCTGATAGTATAAACCTCCTCTAATAACACAAGATAAATCTGCCAGGTTTTTTTGTTGCTTTTCTGTAGAAAATTGGAATTTCATTGCATTATTTGATACCCACCAGCATTTTGAAGAGGAATTTGTTTCCTCACTGCTGTGTGTTCTTCCCTAGGCCTGTGCCCCACTGTACCACTGGAGAACTGAAACCAAACAGGAGAGAGAGCCTGTAGGAACTTGTTACCTGCTTGCTGGGTCAAAATTTGTGGAATATGCTCCCTGCAGGTCAAGTAAGTATAGGGTTCTTACATTGCTTTTCTCTTTGGAACTCCTCTTGTGTCACATTTTCTGTACATGCTGGAGCAGGATGTTTTACAGCTGTTTCTCCCTTCCATGTGTAGCAATTAGAACAAAACTTAAAAACTAGATCCAGACATCTGAATTCTCCTCCAGCTGAGGTTCAGGATGCAGACCTTGTTTTCTCTACTGTAGGCCAGAGGAAAATCTTAGGTCCAAGTATCATTGGACTTGAGGACTTCTGTTGTTGAAGGGACCAATTCTATAGTAATCACTCAAGCAAAATTATGTAGCAAGTACTTTTTCAAAGACCAACTTTATAATTTTTATGAATCTCAAGTACTTTATCATTATTCAAGTACATTAAAGGTGCAAGCTCATTTTAGAAGACAAGATTTTGCAAAAATAGGTTCTGATGTCCCTGTGGGCGTACACGCGTAGTGATGCATTGTTTAAGTGATAGTAACTGTTGAACCCTTGGAGTCTTATTCTCCAAATGCAAATTGCATTTATTGCCTCTAGTTGGGCTGATAAATTATTCTGAGGTTTGTAACCTAAATCTTGAATGTTGAAGTTAGGATTGACATTTTATTCACAGAAAATCATTTGTGAACAGCAGGAATAGAATCCAGCCTGGTCCAGCATAACAAGAAGAGAAATAAGTAAATATTATACTAAATCATGCTAGTTAAGGAGTCACACTTTCAGATGAGGAGCTCCCAGCATTTCTTCTCTGAAGCTGTCTAGCCCTAAAATTGATTCAGCTATAACAATTCTTGCTGAGATGAGTCTCGATATGGAGGCATTTTTTCAGCCAGGTATGCTCTTGTTTTGAGCCAATTCAGATTTCTTTTCCATTCCAAAAGAAAAACTTAACCCCTCTTTTCCAGATATCTTGTTTCCTGAATAGAAATTGCAAATATATTTTCCCCAAGACTTTTGAAGTTTAAATACAAATGAATGTGGGGTTGCTGTTTGCTCTGACTGTGCTGGGCTAAAACACTTGCTAATATTACACATCTTTTTGTCCAGTCCTAAAGTTGTTACAGCATTTGATTGGGGGTTGTTGATGAAGAGAAAGTTAAGGAGAAAAGTATTCCAAGGTTCAAGTTTAGGATTGCAATAGGAGGAGTACATAGGAAGATGCATTGCAAAGTTTCCACTGAGTCAACTGATTGAGTACTGATAATACTTAATTTATTTATTTTTCTCCTCTTTTTTTTCCTTTTCCTCTTCCTCTTTCCTCTTTCCTCTTTTCCTTTTCCTTTTCCTCTTTTTCCTTTGGTAGCAACTATCGATGCAGATGGACAGGGGTTTTGTCAAGGTGGATTTAGCATTGACTTCACAAAGGTATGTGATTTTCTTGTTCATTTCCATGGGTCATGGTCATAATCTGCTTTCCCATTATCCTGCCATACCCCTCTGCTGCAGCTGGTCCTCAAGTGAATTCAGCTGTAATAGTGGAGATTTTGAGACATGAGGTTAGTGTATAGCTACTGTTACTTCTTGAGGAATAACAACTCAGGGAACTGGTAAACAATGTGCCTGTAATTCATGTTTGATTTTCTCATCAGCTAGCAGAAGTACAGGGGCTTTTCACTGACTTATGCTTCTTCTACTTTTGTGTTCTCCCTACCTGTTCTAGTCCTTTTTGTTTTTTCAAACTCACAATCAATTTTGAAATCCAAGCACAGTAAAACTGTGAATGTACTATAGTGTTTTGTATTGTACAGTGAAATTGTTGAGCAAAGTCAGGACTTGTTAAGACCACACAAGCCCTATTTGTGATGTGGCTCTTTTTTTTTGGGTTCCCACATCTCAGGATGAGGTCATATCCCATCACTCTTTGCCGAAGGCCACTCTTGGTTTTCTTCCAGAGGAAACTGCCAAGTGCAGGATAGGACTGTGAGTGTTTGGGTTATTTTGCACACACCCTCAGGGTCACTGTGCAGATTCCAGGCCCAGTTAAAACAAATTTGGGCTCTAATCCAATACCTTAGAGTGGACAAGCCAGGCTGCATCTCCAAATGTCTGACCTAGATTTTTCTGAGTGGTGAGTATAGGAATTTTTAGGATAAAAACCTGAATAAGTGGCTTAATTATGCAGCAAAGCCTATGGCCTAATTCAGTTCTTACAGAGCAAATTCCCATTCCTGGGATAGCTAATGGGGTTAAAGTTTCATAAAATGGTTTGTGAATTGCAGTTGTGCCAAGAAATATGGAGTGGGGGAATTACATCACAGTTATTCTGAATTAAGCTTTTGTGATGATGTTACAGGAAATGGCAGAGGCAGAAGGTGACACTATTTTGTGTACTGACCTAGAAACATGATGTAACACTCTCAAAGTTTTCTTCTAACTGTATTCCTGTTGCCATACATTTATGGGGGAGGAATAAAAACAGAATTCTGCCTAGAATTCTAAAGGGGTGAAATAGTCACTGAAGATTTTTGGTTAGTATGCAGAGCTACAGTGATGTACATGCATGGAATTTTTCCCACAAACACAGGACGTGTTGTCTGGCTTTAGATGTGCTTCATGTGTTTTTAATTTTTCTTTCTGTCTCTTCTTTTTTATTCCCTTCCAAGGGAGACAGGGTGCTGCTTGGAGGACCTGGAAGTTTTTACTGGCAAGGTGAGATATATGATTTAAGTCACAGAGATGTTGACCTTCATAATTTTTCTCTTTGTCCTCTTTGTAATTTTGATCCACACTCTTCCAGTGTCTGTCAGAGTCTTTGTCAGTGAGAAAACTGACAGAAATATTCCTTTGTCCTTATGATTATCTCCTGAACAATCAAGGCAACCACAGATAAAGGCTGTAGTAATAATAGTATAGATCTCCTTTGTGTTTTAAATAATTCCATGGGCATTATAAAGGCATTTTCCCTGGAAAATTTTCCCTGGGATTTGTTTTCATCAGCAGGATAAGTTCCCTTTAGCATATTTTGTTCTGCTATCGACATGTTTTATAATTTAACACACATACAAAGGGTGCATTTTCAGTGAGAAATATCCCCTCTAAAGAGAATTTCATTGTTTTCCTCTGACAACAAAGATGTTTTGCATTTGTATTAAGTGGTTTGTGCCACGGGGCACATTTTACCTCTACCTGGCATTACCTGTGTACTTTGCTCCTGTGGGATTCTGTTGGTGTTTGCAGGATTATTCAGCCTTTAACTGCAGCTCTCTGTTCAAAGGAGGGTGCTGCTGTAACCAGGACACAGCTGCCAAACTCTGCTTGCTGCCTGCTTTTTAATGTAACTTCTAACATTTATTAATAGATTTTCTGTATCATGCCAGCCTACATGTAGGTGCAGCAGCACAGGAGGCTTGTTCCAGTCCTGTGTTTTAAATTATGAACAATATTGAATGATTGAAGCTAAACTGCAGGTACAATATAATTTAAATTAGGTTCCTGTATTCATTTTATTGCTTTTTGGCAAAAGTGACACTTCATCTGCCAAAACAACCTTATGCTCTTCTACTACTACCAAAAAAGCCTAGTTGGCTCTGAATAGAAGACAATAATATACTTCTGAAAACGAGATTTGTCATCCTATACTTCTATTCCACGTCCTGGGATGCTGGAGGAGGAGTTTTCCCTTCACTTCATGCACGTATGAATATGTGTGTGAAGGAAGTACCATTGTAAATGGGGTTTTTGGGTGATTCAAGTTTTCATTTACACTCGAAGAAAGGAATGTAATGAAGTCACCACCTAGTGGCTGATGAAGTGAAAATGGAGAACATGACAATACAGTGTGATCATCTCATTTTTGTTCATTCTATTGGCTTTTTGTCTGCCAAAACAGTCTCTTCTGTTGTGGTATTTGGGCAAGGAGCACCCAAAGGGCTCAGTTCTGCACAAGCATAAGCACATGAGATCTCTGCACTGCCTTTCAAGTCCCACCTGTGTGTAGGATTGGCCTCTGTTTTCAGTGAGAGCTCTGTGTGTGCCTTTGATTCAGTATGTGCACAGGTTTTTGCTGAAGGAGGATCCATATTTCCACTTGTGTCCTTCCTGGCACTGCTGCAGCTGGCCCCTGCCCGGTCGGTGTGGCGCAAGAGCCGCTGCTTTCAAGGGCACCATTCCATAAATGGGTCACTTCAGTGAATGAGATCACAAATTCTGGCTGTGGTCTTAAGCTGTTTTCTCTCTCTTTAGGCCAGCTTATTTCTGATCGAGTGACGGAGATTGTGGCGAAGTACGACTCCAAAGTCTACAGTACGAAGTATGATGACCAGTTAGCAACCAGACCTGCCAGTGCTGCTTTTGATGACAGCTACTTGGGTATGTGGTGGGAAATGAGAAACCTCCACCTGCAACAGTCCCTGGAACTGTTGATGCTAAATCTAAATCACACAACTAATAATTCAACATGTAAGAGATAGCAAGGGGGTGACATTGCTGAAAACGCAGTCATACATTTATGATGGAACTGTAGTTATTTATTGTAGCTATTTTGCCATAGGCTTGACTCAAAAAGCACCTGATGACAAAATAAATGGAAATATTTTCATGATTTTTATATTTTCATGATGAGGGGTTAGTCACATAGATGGTTGTTTGGTTGTTATTTAAAAGCAGCTGTTTCTAAATAACCCACCAAAGCAAAATAAAAATGTTAAAGAATTACATTTTGGAAGAAAAACAGTGAGGAGTGGGAAATCATAATTTTGCTTCATTTATGTCTAACCAGGCTCAGGAAAAAAGCAAGGATATACTAGGACAATTCCCAGGATGATAATTTTAAAATTTTCATCTTCTCATCTCAAATTCTTGGATAGTGGTGAATTAAAGCCACTCACGGAGCTCTTCATAGTCTAAGCTGCTTTGAGGCAATATTTATACCAGTGCATTTTAAGATGAAGAGGGGAGGACTGTGCACAGAGACACCTGTGAAAAGTGTAAAGAGAGATGAAAGGTTTAATAAGGTTTTTAAAGCCTCATCTTGTCTCTCTGCAGGTTATTCAGTAGCTGTTGGAGACTTCAATGGTGATGGCATCGAAGGTAAGCCCCCTGCTTCAGTAAGAACATCATGTTAATAGGCTGGGCAGATCTTTCAAATCAATGGTCCAGTGCACAGGGAAATGCATCAAGTGCTAGGGATGAGCTGCTTTGTTCAGCAAAGGTGCTTTGGGACCTGGCTGTTATCTGTGTCTTGCTTTATGTTTCAGACTTTGTGTCAGGAGTCCCACGAGCAGCAAGAACTCTGGGCATGGTAAAAAATTTGAAATATTAAACTTTACAATTAAAAAAAAAAAAGATGACTATTGCTGGTATGCTGTAATGTGTATTTCTTCATATGCAGGTGTCCATTTACAATGGGAAAAACATGTCTTCCATGTACAACTTCACTGGAGAGCAGGTGTGTGGCTTGGCTGAGTGTGGTGGATGACCAGGAAGCTTTTCCTATGTTGCAACATTGTTTAGGGTACTAGATAATAGTTTTTATATTACAGGCCAAAGCAAAATTTTATGAAGTCTGAGGGAATTCTAATCTTATTTAAATAAAGGAAATGCTGCCTGTTTTGAGAGCTGGGAAAGAGACTGGATCATGAAAGGGGAAATGGGACAAATAACCGATAAGTTTACTTTCTAACAGAATATGGGAAAGAAACAAAAAAAGAAATGAACAAAAAAAGATTTGTGGCATGTATTATCATCTCCCTGATGTATTTTGTATACAGATTTATGTAAACTTGTTTATGCTTCTATCACTACAACTCACAGGTTTGGTTTGAATTTTGTTTTCCAGATGGCTGCCTATTTTGGGTATTCAGTGGCTGCCACAGATATCGATGGGGATAAGTAAGCATCCTTTTCTCCCTCTTCTCACCAACTTGTGAGAACTCAAATCACCTCTTGCCACCCAACTTGTTTCTGGAAAGAAAAAAAAAATAGCTGTGGGTCTTCCCCACAATCTAGATTTCTGTCTTTATTGCTGGTTTAACACATCTGCACAACCCTTTTGCTAACATTCCACATTTGTTTTAACATTTGTACTTTGTTTTTGAATTTATCTACATAAATGTATTTTAAGTATATTCACATGGTTAAAGTCCACTAAATTTTCATATATTTCTGCTTACTTTGTCAACAAATATTTCCTTCAGTTGAATTTCAAGATAGTTAACTTTCATCAGAGTGTTGACTTCAGTGCTGAGTTAACAGGTGCTGGAGAGAATGAATTTTCACACAGCTACCAAAGAGCTTTGTCCTTTTTTGTTCCAGTTACACAGATCTGTTCATTGGAGCCCCTCTTTATATGGATAGAAGTTCAGATGGGAAGCTTCAGGAGGTTGGCCAAGTAACCATCTGCCTTCAGCGAGCCTTGGGAGGGTTTCAGACAGCAAAGCTGAACGGTTTTGAGATCTTTGCGAGATTCGGCAGCTCCATCGCACCCCTGGGGGATCTGGATCAGGACGGCTTCAACGGTAGGATATTGATTCTTGGTCAGGATCTCCTGATTGTAGAGGGAGCCCAGCCAGCACAGAGAATGTGGATTCTGCACACAAACACTGGGCACTGTAGCCGTGAGCGAGTGTGGGACACAGGTCTAGACTCCTTTCGATGCTTGTATGCTACTCCCAGGAATGCTAACAGGAGTTCCATGGATGCATCGAGCAGAGACTATACCACTGACACCACAGCATGGACTGCTTTAGCTCTTACACTGAACACTTGGTTGTTTTCTAAGCCATGACCACAATAGAAACTTCAATAAAGTACCTGACTCTCCACTCTGACCTGTTAGGACATCTTCAATGTCATTTTCCTCTGTCCATTGTTTAAAGACCATTTTCTTCTCTAGAAACACAGTGATGACAGAAAAGAAGGTTTTACTTCAGATTGCTGGTTAAAAATGTTCTATAAAAAAGACTTTCCTGAGAAAAATGTAGGGTATTTAAAAAAAAATAAATTATTCAAAATTGAAGTGTTTGGTGGAAATACTGCAAAGGAGCTACAGCCAAATGTACCAAGAACTGAGTGTCTTGAGTGAGTAATTGGAGGAGAAGTTTGAATCTGACCCAACTGGTGCTGAAGACTCTTAAACCCCTTGTCCAGTTTTCTTGTTACTCTCTGATAGGAATGAAGATCAATGAAGCAGACAAGAACCATGTAGTGTTGGGATGGAGATTTCCAGGAATCCCAGGGAGAACACTTTGTAATGCCCATTATAGTCTAGAGCTGCCTAAAGAGTAGTGGGAATTTGAGTTCCACCTAAAATCTTCTATTTTTCCATTCTGCTTGCAAGCTAAGTATTTTCTGTAAGATCAAAAATTACAATAGATAGTTACTTCAAATTCCCAGGTAACTCTAATTTATTTTTGATGAAGTGATAAATTCATAGTGTAGTTGAAATTGGAAGGGACCTTTTTAATTGCTAACTGGATGTAGAATCAGTGTGAAGATGCAATATCACTGCAACTATTTACAGAAGACATTGGACAGCTGATAGCCAAAATTCCAGTCACTTGATGAGAATATTGCAAACTTTTTTTGATTCCACCATACTTACACTTGAAATACACTGTAGGAAAGAGAATCATAGCAAAAACTGCCTCTTTTTAATTGTTTTGCTGTTATTTAGTCTGTTTTGGGTTTTATTGCTCTGCCTTATTTTGGGAGTGTTAATTAAAATGCCTTCCATCACAGTATGGTGCAAGATAGGAATTTTTATTGTCTTCATGAAGATTGTAAATAGAAGTCAAAAATACAAAACTGTAAACTTTTGAGTCCTTATTTTTTTCCTCAAACTTTCCCAAATTTCAGAATAGAGGAAGGAGAAATTTAATTATTCCAAGTAGTGATTCATGTTTGGTCCTTGAACTATCTGTGGAAATGTAGAAATTAGATCATATGTACACTTCTAGAGCTGTCCTTGCAGATAGTCTAATTAGCATTTTGTTTCTTACAATTTGTTAGTAATTTACAGTGAGTACTTCTAAATTTAAGAAATAGAATAACTGCACTAACTGGAAGTTCTCCATAAAGCATGCTGCCAAGCCATGACTGGGATAGACTGGATTTTAATATTTACCATTGGTTTAGGATGATTTAAGTTTTCCAGAATTATTAACATGTCCCACCCTTTGGAGGAACACGAGCATGTAAATGAAATGGGAAGAGAGTCACACTCAGTTTTGTGGTTTGGCACCCACAGTGACTAACTCTGCTTGTTTTAATAAAAAGCTCAAAAGCATTCCAAATCCATATGATTTTACTGCAAAAGTGCGGAAGTGTTTGTAGAACCATTTCTCTCCTTCCTCTCCCCATAAAAGGCTGTGACACGTTCTTGTTAAACATTTATACCTTCCAGAAAAAACAGCATCTAATAATAAGAGAAAACACAGCATCTAATAATAAAAGAGAAAAACAGAACAAATAAAGGAGCAATAAACAAACACTGATGAGCATTTTAAAGGCTGGTTGCATTTCCTCCCTACTGACACACATTGAAACTGTAATATCAGAAATTATTGATTGATGTAAGCACAAACAGGTTCTAGCTTGTGTCTGCAGATGTTGATGATTCTTCTTTTGGTTTTCAGATATTGCAGTTGCTGCACCATATGGTGGGGAGGACAAGAGAGGAATTGTGTATATCTACAATGGAGGAGCAAGTGGTTTGAATGCCATCCCATCCCAGATCCTGGAAGGGCAGTGGGCCGCTCGCACTATGCCCCCCAGCTTTGGGTACTCGCTGAAAGGAGCCACAGATGTGGACAAAAATGGATATCCAGGTCCTCTGCTCCAAATGGCACTTTACAATAACTCAGTTATTGTAGCAGTCCCACCTCTGAGAAACAGCATATTTCAAACAGCAAGTTGTAATGTGCAATGTCTCCTCTCTTTCTAGACTTGATTGTTGGAGCCTTTGGTGTTGACACAGCTGTTCTGTACAGGTAAGGGTCCCTCTGTCCTTGTACCTGAGTGTGAAAGCTCAGTGGAGTTGTGGGGCTACAAAAGAAAGCAGGATCAGGGAAGTCTGAAAATCTGCTACTTCACCATCCAAACCTCTGGAGGTGAACAAACACTATACTGTTTTTTTTACCCAGTAAACCTATCTGCTGCCTGAAATTCATCTTTCTCATTAATATGTAGCCAGGAGAAAACATAAATAAGCTGTCTTCAAGGCTTTCTGAGTGACAGTTTTGTAGATTCTGACACAGCAGCTGCAAGCTATTACACTGCAATCCCATATTCTCATCCCAGCTTGCTCATTTTGGAGAATATATTGGTCTGTGTTATAAGTAAGGTAGGACTTCCTCTTTACACTGGTGTCCATGTTGTGGCTGATGGAAATGAAAGGGCACAGAAAAACTTCAGCCAGTCAATTGTTATTTGTTTGTCTTGTTGTTTCATTAAATATTGTGTGTTTGTGTATATTGCACAGTTTGATGGGGGGGACATTGTCAAGCAGGGTGTTGAGTGCTCTTCAAGAGGATGTTTTCTTTGCAGGGCTAGACCAGTTATTAGAGTAAATGCTGCCCTGGAAGTTAATCCAACTATTCTAAACCCAGAAAACAAAGCCTGTTCACTGGGAGATGTAAAAGTTTCTTGGTAAGCAGAGTATCTATGTTTTCCTTTGAGGGGAGGGACTTCTTGGGTTTATTTTTGTAACCTTCCAATTTTAGAAGGTCTCAGGAAGTCTAGTCAGCTAATTAAAAGGAAAAAAAAAGACAAACACAGGTTTTTTCTGACAGAGCAGAGAATACAAAATAAGATCCCTCTGACAGCAGTTGGAGGACCAGCACTGTCTTTAGTAGATGCCAGAGTGACTCCCAAAGCCTGCAGAGACTGCCAGTTGTCCCTGCTGAGCAGAGTAAGCTCATCCCAAGATGTCTGCACATCTCATGGTATTTGCAGTGGTTTTACCCACTAATGTACACTCTTGGGCAGTGATCTGCTCTGTAAACTGCTTTTGCTTCTGGTTCCCAGGCTATTATCCAAACCCAAATTCCCTTCCTACTGCTAACTTTCTTTTCAGGATCAGTAGGATGGCTTTAAATGTAGGACCCATTTGATTACAGGAATAAACATTCCAGTCCACAGGTGATTGTCCCTAGATGAATCAAGATTCCAAAGCTTTGCATTGCCTGCAATTCTGTCTACTAATTCTCGTCCATCAGTAGGAAATAGCTTTTGGGAATGAGCTAGAGTCTCAAAAAGAGGATACATCTGAACATAGCATAGTTGGAGGAATTTATACAGTGAGGAATAGTGGGAATTTTTAGAAGAGAGGAATATTATTATATATATATAATGTATATAATTAGAAGAATTTCAGAAGAAAATGAGAGAAAAAGTGTGTGAAATGAATTTTTTTTTTCCTCTCAAACAGCTTCAAAGTAAAGTTCTGCTTAAAAGCAGATGGCAAAGGAAAGCTCCCGAACTCACTCAGTAAGTTCTGCTCATTTAAAAGTTGGAAGTCTTGTTGTGCTGTTTGCAGACATGAGCCCTGTTATTTTATTTTATAAAATTGTTATTTTCATGACAAACAGCTGGGTGCCCTTTGCTGCACCCTGCTGCCTCTTGGGTGGCATGTACATCTATGAGGCTCTCCAGCAGGATTTTTTGGCTGTAGTGGTGTAGGATTTTTTGGTGAAGTCACTTGAATCATACCTGAGACTTTAAACATATGTTCAATTATGTGGTTAATTAGTCTTGGAAAGCCCTTTGTAATTTACAGAATTTATAGAAGCTCTCATTGAGGGGAGCTTTAGACAAGAATACTCAAGTATGTGCATTATTAGGGCTGAGAGACAGACAAGCCACAGGGGACTTGTCATATCCTGCTGAGATCATGACTTTTTGATTGATACCACTGACTTCTTTCATCAGGTTCTTGGATCAGAATCAGGAAAAGACTGTTTCAAACAAGTTCTTAAGTTGTCTCCAAGAGATTTTGTGGTGTGGCAAACAGCCTGCTGCAATCAGGTTTTGTTTACTGATTGCAAAATCTCTTCCTTATTTTCTGTGGCACGTACAGAGGTGGTGTGATCTAGGAAGGCTCATATGAATATCTGTTATGTATTTTAAGTTTTATTACCTATATAAAATATTTCAAGTAATTAGATTACCAATAGTATTTAAAAATAAAAGTGTTTTCTGCAAGATTGCTTTAAATTTTCTAGGGGAGAAAAATTCTAACTTTAATTCTTGCAGTTCCACAGCAATTACAAATTATAAATGCATCTGTGTTCTTACATATTTCCAGTGTTTAAGGAAACAGCAGAATCCAATTTAGGACAGCAGCAGTGCGTGAGAACTAATATAGTGACAGATTTTACATGGGAAAAACTGGAAGTTTTAAGATGACAACCACTAAGTTTTCACTGTAGTTGAAATCAGTGTTCAGCTCCATTTCTGAAGGCAATCTGCACTGTGTTTAATGGAATGAAATATCCCTGACCCAAATCCTTTGGCTTGGCCAGATTTCCAAGTGGAGCTGCTGTTGGATAAACTGAAGCAGAAGGGAGCTATAAGGAGAGCTCTCTTTCTCCACAGCAAACAGCCCAGCCACTCTAAGAACATGACAATTACAAAGGGGGGAAAGATGAACTGTGAGGAGCTGGATGCCTTCTTGAGGGTAAGTAGCCATTAATGTTTTAAGCAAATAATTTTTGGTGCATTGTTTATTATAAGTTCATTGTGTTAGGTGTTAAAAAAACAAACATACAAAACAGGACAAAAAAGCTAGAGAAACTTCATTTTCAGTGTATAGACCTGAAATTACTAAAATCATATGTTTGTCATGAATTACTGCTGCTGTCACAGAATGAATGATGAATCTTATTGTGGCTGAAATCCTGGCTCCTAAATTCATTGGAAATTCAATTCAGGACTTTGTTCTGGACTTCTTGGGTAAGTCATCCAGGCACCAAATTAATTATAATTTCCAAGGAACATGAAAGTCAGTAAGCAGAAGTTGTTCCATGTACTTTGGAGGTTAAAAATTGAGGAAAAATATGGACCTGCAACTGACAAGCCAAAATATGTAAATAGCAGAGGAGATGGAGAAAGTTGAAATACTAAGTTTGCTTTTTCTCAATCTTTCTGTTTTCATCCCCATGAATGTGAACAGATGCTAACACAATTAAAAGTTTAAATCGGTAGAAGAAGCACTGTATGTAGCTATGTAAGTTCTATGCAGCTCAGATTTATGTCTGAGCACTTTTAAATCAAACAAACAGCATGTACTTCCCACTAAAAAAAGAAAACCCAAATAAAAATGCTAGCAATCATTAAGGATTCACAGAGGGTAGGTAATACTTTCTTTGACCTGACTTTTTTGCATGGGTTATGTACGGAATTAGACACCTTAGCTCTCAGGGTTTGTAAAGATTTAGCACATTTGCACCTAACATTTTCATAAAGAAAATAATGACATATGACCTATATGAAATGATCATAAATGGGGGGCAAAACCAGTTTAAAACTATAGATAATCAATAAGTTTCTGCCCATAGAAGACATGTTCTGAAATAAGATTTTGAAGTGAGCTGTGCTAGGGTCAGTAGTTTTCATTACTCTTTCAAGTGAAGCAGAGTTTACACTGAGTAAATAGTAAAGGTAAGATATGGTTTGTAAGGCTTGATCCTGAGATTTAGAGATGGCTTGATCCTGAAAGGCAGGATCAATATTTGATAAACAGAAAACCTTCAAATGAACGACATGAAAGTCAGCAACTTCATAGTGACAGGTAATAATTTCAGGAAGGAAAAGTTGTAAGTCCATAGATGAGTATCTCTGAGACATCTTAGAAGCAGACTGAGCTTGGTCTGACAGGAAAGAGCAGAGTTTTGTAGCCCTTATGATCCTTGTGACTGGATTTCCATGACTTAATATTTCTGTATGCACCAGTTTTCCATTTGTTAAACAGGCAAGTTGCTGCTAAAAATTGTGCAGGTTTTCTGACAAGAGATTTTATACTTTGAAAAGAGCTCAGAAGTTTTAATGTTATTTTGGCCTCTCCATTCCTACTACACTTTAATTGTGATTCAAATCTTTGGTTTCCTCAGGATGAATCTGAGTTCAGAGACAAGCTAACTCCCATTACTATTTTTATGGAATATCGTCTGGATTACAGAACGGCTGCAGATGCAACAGGATTGCACCCCATCCTCAACCAGTTCACTCCTGCTAATATGAGCAGACAGGTACACTGCTTACACAGCCTGTGGTGAGAGAACTCAGAACATACTTTGCTTCATCTTAGGGAGAAAATCAGCTGGAGTAGTACTGGAGGTGTTAATATTGAAGGTTTGGAGTGTTTTATCCATTCTCATACTATGCTGCTCTATGTACATTATGTTTCTCCCTATAGTTCTCTTAAGGTAATAGACATAGTTTTTCTATTTCTGCCCTTTTTACAAATTTTTACACTTGTTTGTAAAGAGGATAGTGAAGATGCAACTTAATATGAAGAGATTATTCAGAGTATGGAAAGATGGTTAAGGTGTAAACATCAGTCCTCAAATTGCAGTAGGGCAGGACGAGGCAGTGTCCCCCACATATAAAAACTCATTTGTTCTCTTCTGAGACTAATGACATGAAAACATTTCATAACCAGCTATGTAGAATTTTCTTTTAATGTGGTGGTGAAACAGTATTATTGAAAATGAATGTTAGAACAGATGAAGGAATTATTACAACAGTATGTGTATGATTTTTGCATAGGCCCATATTCTGCTGGATTGTGGGGATGATAATATCTGCAAACCAAAGCTGGAGGTGTCAGTAGAAAGGTAAGTCCATGACAAAAATACAACAAGGAACGGCAATTTCCCTACTTGAAGTCTAAAATTCAGTAGCTGGTAATACTTTTGTTTAAGGGATGTGTTGAAATAAGTAGGACTCCTCATTGCATACTATCTAAACTCAGGCTTATAGGCCTTAAAGAAAGCCCATTTTCTGCTTTGTAACCTAATGTCTTTAGCATGTAATGCATCACTCCCACCCCAGCCTCCACTATACATAAGCCATGTTTATTTGCTAAGCTGAACATGTATAGTGAGAATAAACCACTGCTAGCTGCCATTGTATCTCTGTTCTGTTGTTTAATATTAGGTAGACATATGAAGATGTGGTTTTATCCAGCAAGGGGAGGAGAAGGGCTTTCTTGTCACATGTGTGAAAAAAAAATTGTTGGTATTGGTAGTATCTTCTATCAAACCTGGATAAAAGAAACAAGTTTTCTGTGGTAATTCATGCATGAGACTGAGCTTTTTATACTTTGTGTGGCCTGAAACCTCTCTTAATGAATTATCTCATAATCTATTTTTAATGCATCATAGCACACACACATTGTATGTAGCTAGCATACTTCACAAGCACTAATTCATGCAGACACTTCAGTAACATTTTACATCAGTGCAGATACCTTGATGTTTGCTTGTAGTTGGTGAAATGAAAACACATTTCTTGCAAAGATAGTCTCTTTGTATCTGGAACCAAAGGTATTGCAGAGGTCTTGGCTCTATTCTGGGTAGTTGAGCCTTCCCCTGAGTTTTGTTATAAATATGTGTTGTACCTCTGCAAAATGGGCCTGTAATTCAAAATGTGCACAGGGATTTAGCTGCTCATAATTGTTTGCTCCTTGTGAGAAAAAGGTGTGTGTTTTTTTGTTTTGTGGTACATTTTACAGGAAAGATTCTTACAATAGAACATGTAATACTTGTTCCACTTGTGATTATAGACATAGGGGGTTTTTAAAAGTACCTTAGAGCTCTCCTGACGTTCCTGAAGCAAAGGTACTGCCTCCAGATATCTCCAATGTCTTTGTGAAATTTCAGAATGTCTCTTGTTCCTCTAAGTTCAGCCACTTCAATGCAATTTAAAACCCGAATGCAGAGCTTGTTCTCACACTCTTCTCTTTTAGTGATCAGAAGCAGATCTATATTGGTGATGACAATCCCTTGACCCTCATTGTCAGTGCTCAGAACCAGGGGGAGGGAGCCTATGAAGCAGAGCTCTTTGTCGTTGTTCCACCCCAAGCAGATTTCATCGGAGTTGTTCGTAACAACGAGGTAAAATTCCAACTGCTTTTGAGGAGTCATATTTGAGGTGCTGCTGTGGAAATCTGTAGTGGTTTCTATTATTTCAGTCTTAGAGCAAAGCATTGAAAAAGTGATCAGTTTTTTTCAAAGTCCCTCTCTTTTATAACCTTGAAAACAGGTCTGTCTTGTATCAAAAACATTTGTCTCCTTGGAGACTTCCATACTCAGATTTTATTTCATTTTAGTACTTGACTGTGTTATGGCTGAGAAATTATATTAAAATTAATACAGCATAACTAGGACTTCTCTCCAGACTTTCATCCAGGTGTTCAGATGTGAAGACTGACATTCCTTAGTGTTTCTCTCTGGTTTATTGCAGGCTTTAGCCAGACTGTCATGTGCTTTTAAAACAGAGAATCAGACTCGCATGGTAGTTTGTGACCTGGGCAATCCCATGAAAGCAGGAACTAAGGTAAGGTTTGGTCCAACAGGTGTCTGGAAGCTCACCCAGGAGGGCAGGTGGCATTTTCCTGAACCACAGCAGTGTTTGGGCAGGAAGTTTTCTCACAGTAATTTAAGATTAGGTCTGACATTCAGCTGCCCACATTTGATTAGTACAGCGGTAGTTGGTTTCAACTTTCCAGCTAAATAAAAGACTGAAAGGAGCATTCATGAGTTTTATGATGCCACTCAAAATGAGTCATTTATTAAATAGTAGAATTAATGGACTTTGGTCCCTCATGAATTTTTTGTATTTATCTGATAGGTATTTTTTTCTATATAATCAAGAGCTAGCTCACAACACTTCTTTCTCTTAGTTTATCTCTTTTCTGCCTGCTTTCATGAGGAAGGACAGAGTTTTGTCTAGTTGAAACCTCTACAATTCCAACAAATGTAGCTGAAATTGAAAGAATTATAAAATTATTAGTGAGACCTGGAAGATTTTATGACACAGTAAGTCTTATTTTCTGAGGAAATGAAGTGAAAATCAGTCATAATTATAACAATTTCATGATGCTTTCCTTCCAAGAGCCATCTTGTACAGGTGAATAAATGCTATTTCCAAAATCTTTTGAAGTGTATCAAGCTGAATTGCACATATGTTAAAGCAAATATTAATTGACATCACCAAACCTTGGGAATTAATTTTGAATCATTAATGTGTTCCCTGCTCATATTACAACACTTTTTGCAATGTCTGGGGAGGCTCAGTTATGTGTAGAAATGGCAGAAGCAGGGTGGGGAGCATGATGCAATCTTTGTTTTGTATTTTATGGCAGTGATGCCTTGGCCGCAGTCTAAAGAGAGGGCAGTACATTTCCAGCCTGGATGAACTGGACAGCTTTAATTTTCCAGTTCTGCCTGTGTGTTCTCTCATCACCAGGAGTCTCAAGCAATTTCATTGTAGTCTAATAGCAGTGAGAAGCTTTTATTGTGTGTTTTATTGTGCTTCCAACTGAACCACAGTGATTTTTTTCCCCAGCTCTTAGCTGGCCTGCGTTTCAGCGTGCACCAGCAGTCTGAGATGGACACCTCTGTCAAGTTTGACTTGCAAATCCGGAGGTATGGACATCTCTGAGTTAGTCCCTCACCTGGGAGAAGACACACACAGTAAATAGGCTGTGAGCTACACAGTATCATTCTATCCTAATTCTCTTTTCTTTGCCTCCTAATGGCTTGAAAAATAAACAGGCTGAATTAGCTTTCCTAAAATAGAGGGAAAAAATTAAGAATATTTGTATGTGCATATCATTGTGCTCTGCTGACACTTGTGGTGCCACAGAATGACTTTGGGTTTATAGCCAAGAGCCTGAAAATTAAATGGAACAAAACAGTAGTGTTCCTGTTAATTATCAGATGACCACAACACTCTCATATAAATCTGATATATAAATCTGAATTTGTAAGTTCTGGAGATGATATTTAAGGTTGGAGATGTGTTCATTAGGAGTATCTTTACCCAATGCAGTTTTATGTTGCTTTTAAGGGACAGTATGGCATGTGTGGCATGGTGTGATTGTTCTTTGCACAAAGTGATCTCTGGGATGTCTGTCACCTTCCTTAGGCCAACAGCAGTCACCTGCCACTGTCACTGGGTTGGAAACAGTCAGTGAGGTTGCTCAAGTCATGCTTGTCTCCTGATGGAAGAGAAGGGAAGCTCCTCTAGTGTTTTAGGCCTTTTATGGAAGAAAATTTCTTCCGTGACTTGTGGCTGCCAGAAGGGTGAGCAGTGGTGCAATGGAACACAGTAATCACAGTTCATAGTGACAGGCATTACCAGGAGATTATCTGGGAGAGGTTTTAAGGATCACACTGCTTGTCTTAAACTCACAAAACTAGATTTCCAATGCTGGCTCAGTTCCTAGCAGAGCAGGTCTAGTCCCTAAAAGAGTGAGGTATTTACAGGTCAGGAGGAATTTGTTGATTACAGCAGCAGTGAAGAATAATTAGAAGATTCAAGAGGTCTTTGTAAAGGAAAGTGTTTGGTTAGGGAGACAGAATAATCAGATGTGTCGAAGGAGATCAAGATTCTGCTCCCAGCACCACTTTGAGGGAGGAATGTCCCCTGTATTTTCTTACATGACAGCCATGTGACAGAGTCAGCACTCACTTTGTGTCCTTCATTAACCTCTCCCTGCTGAGACTCCCCCAAACTATGCAGAGGGTTGGACTTCCATGCATTTAGGTGAGAACTTGCTGGAATCTGCTCCTTAGTTTTTAGCAACTGTGCTTTCCTACAGTGGCTAAGGAGTGATGCTATGATGTTACATACAATTACTTTGAAGTGTGGAGGGTTTTTTTATTGAATACTTTGCTTATTTCATTTAAGAATTTACCTTTTATTTTCCCTGCAGTTCCAACCTGTATGACAACCTGAGCCCAGTAGCATATTATCAGGCTGACCTTGCTATTTTAGCAGCTGTTGAAATTAGAGGGTAAGCAATACCATTTTAATAAACACTTTAAAGGAGCTTTGCACATTTGCTTCTTTATATTCACTGAACTTCCTTTCAGGTCTGCATAAGTTTTCAGGAAGGTTTAGGGAATTTTTAATCATAAAGACAATATGGTTCTCTCTAGCCAGCCTTTGGATCTTTGGATCTTAAATAATTCTAAATAATTACAAAAGGAATTCCAAAAAGGAATATTGTGCCTCCATTACTAGAAACATTTTTTAGAAGGAGAAAAAAATCACGCCTCTTGTTTGCAGTTTTACAATTTTGCAGGTCACTTTTCTCCTCCACAAACTGACTGGGGTTTCATCAGAAAACCCCTGAAACCAGAGTTGAAGATTCTGTGGAATTTAAGTTTGTAATGTCCTCACCTTTTTCAGCCTTAAACATAGTATTAATATCGTAATGACTTAGTTACTCTATCACTTCTACTTCCCCCAAAAAATTCCTCTTGCTTAACCAGTAAACTTGGATTCCTGAGTGTTAATTTTTTAAATTTTTTCCCTACATTCATCATTGTGACAAATTTGTTCAGTATCTGAGAGGTGGGGGATGGCACACTGGAAAAGCATGATTGGAATCTTCACAGTTTTCAGGGCTGAATTAGTCTTAGGACTGTACTGCTAAGGCTCTACATCACCAATATTTCTCATTATCACAGTATTTCCCATTGGTTTTGTTTGGATGACCTGTGTGTCTTTTATATTTTTTTAACCTAGAGAAAAGAACTGAACATTTAATATTCAAACCACTTCTTTTATACATATTATATAAAATTAGATTATATATAGTATATTATATATATCATTAATATAGGTTTTATATGTGTTTTATGTAGAGGATGAAGAAGTGGCAGTTGTATTTTAAACGTGTTGATTTTTTTTTTCTTTAGATGTTCTGAAGAATCACATTTATTATTTCATACTTGCTAATAACCACTCCTTTGCTCTGCTGTTTAGTGTGTCGTCCCCTGACCACATATTTCTTCCCATTGCAAACTGGCAGCCCAAGGAGAATCCCGAAACAGAAGATGACATTGGGCCTCTAGTTCAGCACATCTATGAGGTGTGGAATTATTACTGATTTCAGTGACATGCTTCTGTGCTAAATGAAAATAAATCTTTTGGTGTAGCTTTTCTCTGTAGCAAATTATGATATTTTTTTTCTTTTGTCTTGTATGTAAGGAGAGATTTTATTTTTTTAATGCTGGGCCAATAACTGGTATATCCAGTAAGAAGGGTTGGAATGCCTGCAATTACTGTAACAGGGGTTGATTACCCACATAACTACACATATTTTATTTTCTTGCCTTTTGAAATCTAGATAAACATTTGAAGTAATGTGAGCTCAGGAAATGGCTCATGGCTGTAAGTGATTGTACTCTATTCTGAATCACTGCTCTGAAGTCTTTTGCTGTGAAAAAAATTTAAGTATTTAAAATTCCCTTAAAAGAATTATCAAAGATTTAATCTAGATTGTTTAATTAAGCAAAACTTACTGAGGGAGCTGTGTGAATAATAATAATTAAAACTTTTACCACTTTTAGGTAAAGTTTTGATGCTGTTGCCATAAGTGGTTGAGGGTAGGGGTAGTAGCAGTATCACATTCGTGGCTCAAACATAAAATAACAACTATATGCACATTAACAGAGAAAGTAGCATTACTTTTTTATATCTGTAAATTTTATTTTCATAATCAGCTGAGAAACAACGGTCCAAGTGCATTCAGCAAGGTGATGATGACTCTGCAGTGGCCTTACAAATATAAAAACAACACGCTGTTGTATATTGTGCAGTATGAAATTGATGGTCCCATGAACTGCACTTCTGACATGGAAATCAACCCACTGAAAATTAAGGTGAGCAGGACTTTCCCTTTGAGTGGAGTGAAGTATGTTTGATTGTTTTGTAAATACTCAAAATAGCCAAATCCCTGAGAATATGACAAACTGAGATAGTTTTTCATCTGTGACTGATGAGTAAGTCTACACTTTTTCACAGTATATATCAACATATATAGCAAGTGAAATGAAAGGTAAATGGCAGCTCAAAATTGTCAACTCAAAGATCAATTTGTTTTATTTCTTTTTATTGTGGGCTGGGTTTTTTTTTCTGTTTGTTTTGTGGTTTTGTTTTTTTTTTTTTAACAACAAGGCTCTTTTATATAAGTCCAAAGCAATAGAATTATAATGAATGTGGTCATGAATAAAACATACCAGACACTTCTGGACTGTTTATCTAAATTTCCTGGAGTTTGTTTCTTGGAAGAACATGGTATTATTTTTTATATTACATTTATCTATTTATCCAACTGGATAATTTATCCAGTTTGGATGAATTTATCTATTCATCCAAAGGTCACAAAAGACAATAGGGGTTAGCTGTCACTGCCAACAAAACATGGGACTTACAGAGCAGAAGAAACTCCTTTTTCCTGGGCTGGACTAGGCAAAGAAACACCAGATAAAACCCAGCAAGTTTATTGAGTGTAGAGAGTTGATTTCTAGGATAGTTTAGAACAAGCAATAAAAGTCAGTATAGTCAGTGAAATTCAGTTAGTTCAAGAAGATTTTGAGCAAAAAAAAGGACAGGGGGAAGATAATCAATGTATAGGATAACAAAGAATACTTGTGTATCTTTGTTAACCAAAAAGCAACTCCAGTGAATGTATAAATACAAAGTTCCTGTGCTTCTGCTCTACAATTTGCCATGATTTCTTTTCAGCCGGGGTCTGAAAAATCGCTAGGATAGAAAGAGAGAAACTTGCTGTTAGGAATTTTCTTGGCCTTAAGCTTGGAATCTGCAATTAACTAAATGATTGTTTGGGTTCCCTTGGTGTATCCTAGATTTCTGCTTCCAAGGATGATGACAGGAATGAAACATTTAGCAGGGAGGACCATCGTGACCACCGCATCAGCCGAAGAGATTTAGCTACCGTGGAGGGGGACGTGCACACTTTGGTGAGCTCTCGGCACTGAGGCGTTGACAACACACCTACAATCCTGTTATAAGTCCTTAAAAACAAATCTAAGGAAGGTTTTTCCTTTCTAAACATGATTGGAAATAATCTGTAATAGGAAATAAACTTAATACCATATCACTGTCTTTGTAGCTTCAAACTATAATTATCCGATCCTGGAGGTTATTTAATGTATTTTAATAGTTTATTTGCCAGTGTAGGTATAGGTAAACTAATGCCATTAAGGACTTTTCAAATATTTTCATACTTGGAATATCCTTCCTGTTTTTATACACAGGGCTGTGGAACTGCTGACTGTTTAAAGATTGTCTGTCAAGTTGGTCACCTGGAAAGGGGAAAGAGTGCAATATTGTATTTAAAATCACGCCTTTGGACCCAAACTTTCATGAATGTGAGTGACTGTGAATATTCTGTCACTGTTTTTGAAACATTAAAAGTGATTTTTGTACACACATGCAATACTAATTTTGTTTTTCTTACACAGAAAGAATACCAGAACCATTCCTACTCTCTCAAATCATCTGCTTCTTTCAGTGTTATAGAGTTCCCTTATAAGAACCTTTCCTTTGAAGATATTCACAATTCTACAGTAGTAAGTCATTTGCATCCAGTTTGAGTTACCATATACAGTCACTTCAAAATTAGTGCAAAGACAGTTATTGAGTAACATTTTTATGGCTTGGTATAATCTTAATTTTATCAGCTATTTGTTTCATGTATTTATTTTAGTTGTACGCATACAGTTGATGGTAAAACAGACTGGAGCTGACAATATTTGTAGTTTGAAAGACTTAAATGAAAAAAATGATGGTGAACAATCCTCATGAAAATCATCAAAAATTACAGAAGACGTGTTGCCATGTTATCACTGATTGCAAAAAAGCAAATGCAGGCAAAACAATCCCCAACCCCCTATTATAATTTAATTTTAAAGTCCTATTAAATTTGGGTCAGTGAAATTTTTATGTCAGCACAAATCTATAGCTATACTAGAGAGAAAAAGTAATTTATACTGGATTAAGATTATAATCATGATAGGATAAAGGTATACAAGATTTAATGGATGAAGTCAGCATGTCACTATGGCGCAAAGTGTGATTTATTGTGTTTTTCTATCAGGTTACTACAAATATTACATGGGGCATTCAACCACAGCCCATGCCTGTGCCAGTGTGGGTTATAATTTTGGCCGTCCTAGCAGGGTTGCTGCTCCTGGCTGTTCTAGTGTTTGTCATGTACAGGGTAAGTAGTGTGTCTGGGGGTTTTTGTATCTTTTGCTTTTCTCTATTAGTGATGTATTATTTCATATAGTACCAGCACTTTGCAGAAATGCCTTGGTCCTGATCATCTGAATCAGTTAAGTTTTTGGAATAGCTGTATCTTTTCAGCTTTGTCAGGAAGAAGTTGAATAAAAGAGCATGTCTGTGATAGTGCTGAACTCAGCTTATTTTTTCAACTGATATTTACTGTCTTTGGAGGTCAAAAATGAGGGAAGAGAGTAGGAGTGAAAAAACAACTTAATCAGTTAAGATCTGATCATGAAGGAGAGAGAAAGGATGTGTCTATGTTTTACAAATCACAATGCAATTTCTTAATTGTTCTCTGAATCACAGATGGGCTTTTTCAAACGTGTGAGGCCACCTCAGGAAGAACAAGAAAGAGAACAACTACAGCCACATGAGAATGGGGAAGGAACATCAGAAGCTTAAGCAGAGTTTTATCTGTAAGACATTCTGAAATGTACACTTGCCTACATCTTGGTTACAAATATTGGCTTCCCCCTTCATGAACAAACACTCACTGCTGCAGAGCTGCTGGTCTGGGAAGGCGTCAGCACGTGCAAAACAAGGGCAATACACTTAAATCCTCCCTCTCGTATTAATGCTGTTCTTACCTGCCACTAATGCATCTGCACTGACCCTGTGTGACAAACTCAAGTAAGAGGAGTGCTGGGATTTTGCTTACTGGGATACAGGAAACATCATCTTTTCTGGTTCATGTGCTGATTCTCCATGAATTTCTGCACAGTCTGCGTTTGCTCTCGGAGCCAGCAGCCTCCAGAGGTGGATTACATGCTTAGTTTCTGTTGGTTTTTTTTGGAGTACACTACATTTCATTGCCTAGCTCTTGAAAGTTAGTTGCACAAAAAAAATGAATGTAGCTTGTATTACAGTACTGAAGAATGTTCTCTACTCATTAGCTCTGATGATTATTTTTTTCTCCTGCTCAAGAAATAGGAAGTATTCAGTGGAATCGTTCAAATCTCACACCTGGTTTCCACACCTGTTCCCCTGTCTACTCAGTCATCTGTCTTGTGGTTTCCCTCTAGACCTTACAAATACTGTTCTCCAGGTCCTGGGTCTCTTACTGTAGGGATTGAGCCTACAAACACCAAGTGAGTGAGAGAAATCTGGGGCCGATGTACTTTCTATGGGACTTGGGGAAAAGATTCAGGAGAAGATGCCAAGAGTGCTGTGTATTTCCACAGCGCAGGATCCAGGTGTTCCACAGAGCTCTTGGCAGCATGGATGCATTCATACACTACTAGGGACAAGATGCTGGGCTGTGGCTGCCATCAGCCACATCTGAGAAAACCCTTGATGTACACCAGTGAAACCCCTGCAGGTTTTGAAGTGAAGGCTGCACATTACTTGGCTTGTATTTTGGTTTCTAGCAGAACACTGGAGGGACATTGTGTGACACCTGGTGCACTGTGGGGAAGCTGTTAATCCTCACTTTCCCTGCTTGACCATGCCCAGGTACAGGATGGAGTGACATGGGGTCTGTTCAGGCTCTCTGCCAGCTACATCCATGGATCTGGATTATACCTGTGCTTCAGCCACACTCACACCTCCCTCACCTCCTGCCCTCAGAGAATAGTGAGTCAAATGAAGCAGAGAAGAGCTGGCAGTGCACAAGGGGTCCAAAAGTAAAGGTTGATTTGGCTTATTTCATTTCACTCATTCATTGTTTCATTGGCTTGTTTCATTTGATTCATTCATTGTTTCAGTCACTGCATGTTTCATTGCACAAGACATTTCACTGCACAATGACATTTCATTATGTTCAATGCATTTCATTACCAGAAAAGACACTAAGTATTTTGATTCCTTGTTTTTTAAACATACCAAAAGGTCAGTGGTTTAAAGTGGTTTGAAGTCATGGGTTTATATTGCTCTCAGCTTATTTCCCTCACCATTGGTGTAGTAAAAGGAAGCTTCTTACACTGATTGATACAATTTTTCCTTTCTAAACATGATTGGAAATAATCTGTAATAGGAAAGAGCATTGTCTATGCATTTCAGTAGACAAGTGCAGAGCAGGAGGTTCTCAACTTGCAACCACAGGTTGCACAGATCCTAGAGCAGACATACTTAAACCATTACTAAGGTGCCTTCTATGTGATGTGTTTATTTTCTTTTTTAAAGGGAACAAATTGCAGTATAAGCTCTCTGGATGCAGCCAGGTACACAAAGACTTCTACTGTACTTACACCAGTGAGATTTCTATGCAGACAAGCTCTTAAAAGGGCAAAAACTCTTGTTTGGTTTTGTGCCATGGGGCTTTTCTTCATAGCTGCATCTCCCCCATAAATATAGCAGTGCCCACTAAACCCAGAATTTTCTGAAATGAGCAGTTTGTTTCCACTTTTATTTCTGCATCCTTTCAGAGATTTAAAATCCACCAATGGCTTTTGTTGTTAAGTCCCTTCTTACTTGCTGATCCATGATGGCATCTGAGTCCTTAAGGGGGAGACAGCACAGAGTCTGGGGGGCCAGTATGTTCAGATATAGGCTTGCATATTTATCCATTTACATGGGTTGGGTTTAGACAGTTTGTTTAGATAAAATTAGTTTACATGAAAGGGTATAGGGCATAATTCCGCTTTCACTGAACTTTCAAGGTCTTCAGTGTGGCCAATGTTTTATTTTTGTCTTTCTTTTTAGTATTGTTACTAATAATGTAGTAGAGAATCAGGAGTCAGGCTTTGATCCTGGCCTCAAAATGTGACTTTGATAGAACAGCATTTTCAGTTACTTACATGGGCTTGTGGTTCTCACGCTTGATTATCTATGTGCAAGGAGATCGGTTTTACCCAGTCTTAATCTTAGTAGGGTAAGAGGTTTAAGAGACTGCCAGACAGATTATAGCTCTAATTCCTACATGTGTGCTTTCATTACATGTACACTTCATGGTGACTTGAAATTTATTAGACTACTTGCATGTGTAGGCTTTATTAGGAGATGAAAAAGAGTATTTAGAAAAAGCATGGCGAAGATCCCTCCTGCTCGCATGGATGGGATACCACAGCATTGCTAATGTCAGTGCTAACTGCATCCTGATTTTACTGTGGCAACTGGAAACTCTCATTTTGCTGATTTTCAGGATAAGAAGGTACATTTTATTAGTACAACTACTGTAGCTACGGAAAGCATCTTCCATTTTTGAAGTTACATAAAGTAAGACTTATTTAACAGATTTTTATTTCTCGCCTTCTGCTGCACAATTAAAGAAAATAGTTGCTTCCTCCATGTCCATTAATTTCCAGTTTGGTTAAAAAGACCACAGTAGCATATGTAAATGGAGTATACAGGTTATTTAGTGAGCATAGATGTAACACCTCAAATTCAATTTAAAGTAACATTTGTGTTTCAGGGAGATTCCAAACTGGAAATTTTCCTGAATGGAGCTGCAGAAAACTTTTGATAGTGTGTTCTAGATTCAGCAATAAGATTCCAGATTATGTATATACTTGTGTCAATATAAATTTCATACTGACTTACAGGCATTGATTTATTCTTACAGCAAGTACTGTAGAATGATGTTAAAGCTTTTAAAGAAACTTTGGAAAAGTTATTTTAGAATGAAATTAATGTCTTTGAGTCAAAATTGATATGCATAAAATGCATACTGGGAGCATTTGAAAAATACAAGTACAGTAACAGAGAATTAGACTTCTTTGGAGAACTATGTTTCAGGAGCAGATTTTTTATTAATATAAAATCAACAGTTATGTAATTATTTAGACAATAAAAACATTTTAAAAGAGCTATATCTTTTATAATGAAGTATGAAATTATATATGTACTCCAGTTTGCAATTAATGCAGCATCTCATGATCAAGTTTGAAAAGTGATTTATATTACAGAATGAGTATTATCTATTACTATATTTGACAATATTTAGAAAATGTAAAGCAAGGAACCTAATTTATAGGTTTACTTTTCTTTCAAGGAATGATGAAATTGTGGAAATAGCTTTTGTTTAAGCACGACTGTAAAGTCAAGTACGGGCTATATTTATCAATGTAATTTGAAATCCTTGAGTAAGTTTGCCAACATTGTTTGCCAAGTTATCAGGATTTTTTCTGTTTTAAATCTTGATTTACACATTGACCTCTAATTCACATAATGCTTGTGGAAACTTTTGAAAGTTTACTACATGTGCTCTTTCTTTATAAAGCATTTATTCCAAGCAAAGGTATTAAATAGTCATTTCTGAACTTGTGTCCACGCTTAAAAGGTCTTAAAGGGTATTTTGAAAATACTTCAGCTATAATCAGCATGCTCTTGGTGATTTGAAGGAATCATGCTGAACTTAGATTTTTGCAGCATTTGGGTTTGTTGGTTACCCTGATAGAGCCCTGCAGTATTTTCCACCCTCCCAAACAGTTGCAGAGCAGCATTATGCTGGGGAAAATCAAGGCAGTTTTTGTCTTTCGTCCAGACTAATGTGACCTTTTGAATGAGATTATTTGTGCCCAGTGCTGCTGGCTGTTAATGATTCAGAAAAACAATGTATTTTATTAAAGAAAAACAGGAATCCAAAAAATAAAAAAGGTGATGGCAGGGCTCAGATGAGCCTTACAGCGGGGAGATGATTTTGGTTTGTTTCTGAGATGCGCAGAGCTGTTAGTGCTCGGTTGGCAGTGGCCCCTGTCACAGCCAGATGCCACAGCTGGGATCATGGTTATTGCTGAGCTCTGTAACTCCTGTGGGTGTGAGCGAGATCTGAACCCTTTGGTACTGAATATTTAGCCTCAAACCCCCATGTGCAATATGACATGGTGTGACCTGGTTCACTGCCAAGCCCTCTGCCCGGTTCTGCTGGCCTAAGAAGGGCCGTGGTGTTTCTGTTTTTGAGAAGACATTACTGGTGAGGACAGTGTTTGTCAGCCAAACAAACAGAGCCAGCGTGCTCGCTGGAGGTTATGAATTAATGCTATTGGAAGTCTTTGATCACCCACATTGGGTGAAGCTTGATGTATATTCTAAAGTGTGTCCATTACTAACTCCTGAGTTCTTGAGAACTGGTACCACCTTCTTTAAGTCCATAGTGGAAAATTTGACTAGATCCAATACAATTGGGGTTGAGTCTGTAGTATTACTACTGTTTCATGTGATTGTGGTATTTAGGTCTATTTTTTCCCTATGTATAGAATTTTAACATAACACAGGAAATCTAACCTTTCATGTAATGACTTTCTCCAGATGTGCTGCATTAAAGGTGAATAACTTAATCCTTGGCTTTTGCAAAGTAATGGAAAATTTCATGTAGCATTTACATCTTCAAAGAACTTTTACAGGTTTTGCTTTCCTAGTCCATGAAGGGAACCTGTATTTGCTATGATACAAATATGCTGAAAGTGTAACATTTTATTTCTTCTTAATGGATTTTTTTTGCCTTTTTTTTTGTGTTTGCTCGTGCATTAAATCAGTAGAGCATTATTTGCACAAGCAGAAAATTAACATACTAACAAGAGTGCTGCATTTTATGTTTCTTTGTCATGCAGTAAATACTTGCAGCACAAATGGGAATATTTTCAGTTACTATGAACTTGTTTCAAAGATCTTCGGTACATTTTAGGAGAGCAATATACATTTGAAGTCACCTTATTTTGTATTAAATTATAAATTGTTCAAAGAAGTGGGTATTGTGGCACAGTAATTTTGTACTGATATGAAATATATAGCTATTAAAGCTATGGTTTGCTTTTTAACTCATTCTTTTAATCCTAATGCAAATTTGAGTGTTTTTATTAGGTTGTATTTTTCTATGTATATATACAATTTCAAAATATTATGATTGGGAACTGAAAAATGTAAGTATTGATTTGATTCTGATATTTAGAATTTTGGAATAAAATACCTCTTAATCAACAGAAATTCTGTTGTAGTTTTGTTTTGGTTTTTTTTTTTCCTTTAGGTGCATTTTTAAAAATGTATTTAATTCATCAGAAAATATTTCATAGTGTATGTTTGTACTCCAAAATTATGTGCTACATTCAAAAAGGTTACATTAACACAACTTTTATGTTCACACCTCAAGTCAAAAAATGTTGTAATCACAAGCAAGAAAAAGACTATATTCTGTTACCAGAAAACTGATCTCCAACAGAAATTTCTACATACCAGAAATAAATACTTTAGACTTTATAGGTTTCACATTGCTGTAGAAAATGGTGACATCTTGTCCTCAGGTTAGGAAAATTCCCGGAGAGCTGGAGTTTCTTTCCTTGTTGTATTATTAGTCTAATTTTATCTCAGTGTTGTATTTCTTCTGATTAGCAGTCATACTCACCTGTGTGAGCGGGGTGACAGAATTTGTTAATCTGAGGACAGTATTAATAAAGGAGATGGAAAAGATGTAAAACTGATATTTAATGGTTTAATTAACAACTAATTTAATTTAATATGGTTTAATTAACAACTTCCACTGATCTCATAGTAGCTGCACCTGATGTGTATAAGAAACAGGACAGCAGCAGTCAAAACATGGCTTTTAACATTTGTTCAATACACCCTGCAGCAAACACAGGCCTAGTTCCTGTCAAATAAGATACCTGCAGTTAGATAGTGGCACAGTTATCACTGCATCTGCCTGGCAGCTCCAAATTAATATATTATTATTGAGAAAATAGCTGTCTCATTACAGGAACAAGGCAACAGAGAGGTTTTTCAAATTCCCATCTTGCAGTGTAGCCACCTCAAATAAAACGATGGCCACTGTAAATTGGCATTTACACAACTCCACTGGAGCTATGCTGCTGTACCTAAATGATATTTATTGTGTGTTTTGATCATTAGTTAGTTTGTAAATTAATTGCTAATACATTAATACTTTATTGCATACTAGTACATTAATATCTGTAAATCATCAATTCAGGCATTCTCAAGAACATGGTGAACAATTAGATATACTTTGACAAATATTTACAGGAGCTTCTCATCAATATATTGTCTGATAAACATAAAGAATTAGGGTTAGTGCTGGCAGCTGTCCATCTTCTCACAAGGTATTTCACAATCAATCTGTTCTGCTGCATCTCCCTGATAAACCTGCTGGAAGTTTGGTGCTGAATTATTACCCATCTTGACAAACATACAGGACATGCTAAGACTAAGTTTGCAGGAGACAGAAGCACAACACAGACCTTACAAATGTGAAAAGCAGAAGAATTCTGACAGTAAAATACCCCATGGCTAGTGTTTGTAATTTCACATGCAGACCAGGCCTGTGTCTTACTGGTGTTGAGAGTTCTGCAGAGTCCATGTAGACTGACATTTCTGTGTCATTTCTGCACACATTTTCAGCCCTGGCAGAACAGCAGATGCCATTTTCAGTGACTGATGACAATGGCTGTAATTTGCTTACAGTTTGAAGAGTGTGTAACAACCTTTAAAGACTGCAGGAGTAACTGCTGGACACAATTCCTCAAGAAAGTACTCAGGTAGTTGAAATAAATTACTACAAACCTTCATTTCTTCAAAGAAAATTTGTTTAAGAAGACAATCCTCATTGTGATAATATTTCTGCTGAAATTAATGTTATTGTGTACCCTATTTTTTCCTAGTAATTTTTCTAAATGTAGTACAGACAATTAATTTCCACATCTTATTCCCCTTTAGGAGCCATTTTCCAGAAAGCTTTTATCACACATTTAACAGATTTTTTTCCCCCCAGAACTTTATAAATAAATAATTTTGCATATTCATATCATCAACATTAATTTAAAATGTTCCAGCTCGCCAAGTTGGTTCAACTATTCCTCTCCAAATAGTTTATATCCTGTTAAAAGCTCATGTCTGCAAACATTTGGAAATGAATTTGTGATCTGCCCTTTCTCAATGCCACACCCTCAGTCACCAGACAAATTCCTGAACAAAGGAAGCTCACAGCAGCAGCAACTTTTCTGTAGGCCTCTTTCTTCCACCTGGGACCACACACGGTTTCAAGGAATCCAAAATTAATTCAGCTCTGAGAGTGGCTGTGCAGGAACAGCCACTTTTCCTGCACAGTGCCCATAAAAAAGGTTGAAATAGGAATCTGGGTGAGAGGATGTCAATTAAGCAAATGGGCACTGAGCATGTCTGCTAAACTAAAAAGAGAATTCTTTTCTTTATGAGCTCCTGGAGGAGTTTCACATCAAATAAATGATTGTTTTAGTTGTATGGTTTTTGTGGTCCTTTGCTTTCTTTCAAGAGAAGTCCTGTCAAATGAAATCAGGTGCTGATGAAGGAAAAAGAGATGGACAACAAAGGATAATATTGAAAAGTACCTGCTGAGGAGGATGTGCATTTCCCACTGCAGCATTACCCTGAAAGTAGTGACTTCCAAAATGGTGCCAATGAACTATCAGCAACTGCAGTAAAAGCAAATTGCATTTTTTATGTCAATCCCAAATCTATTTCAAGTCATTGCTAATGGCAGTGAATTAATTACATTGTACTGTATAGAATGAGATGGAGGCATAAGGAAAAGTGTATTAGATTATACTCTGAAAATATGCAGAGTAACCTGTAAGTTCTTCTTTTCAGTATGGGAAAATTTATACCCTGTTATAGTTTGTGACTCTATTCCTCTGTTTCTCTTTCAATTAAGGCATTTTCTGCAATCTGAAAACTACAGGATTTGGCCTAGTATATGCCTAAAATAAACCTTTTATTTGACTGATCTTTGTTTTGTTAAAAGGCAATTCAAGTAATTTGATATTTTCCAAAGAAGTTTCTATTCACTATTTCAAGATTCACTGAAAATTTAGTATTAGCCCGTTCTGTAAGTGCTTCCAGTGAATGGGATGTTGGCCTCACTGCAATCATGGCATGGGCACGCTCATCCCCACCAGTGTGAGATCCCTGTGGGCTGATCCCAATGTGTGCTCAGCTCTCAGGCACCGCGGGCTGCCTGCTCCGGGTCAGTTTGATTTGTCTGGATGTGCTGCCTTTCTGGGTTTTTTTTTCCAGACTTATCTGCTGGATCTTTTTTTATTACCCTCCCATGGGCTGTGTCGATTCTCCCATTCCCTCAGCCCCTCCTCATCTGGCGTGTGCTCCAGTCACTGTGACAGGCTTTAAAACCACTTTGGTATCTCCTAAAGCCTTGATCCCACACACAGGCATTTATCTCTCTGCCTTATGTACGTGTTTACTCCTATTGGCAGTTCCTGATGGCCAACATTACACTGATCCACAACATAGACAATAACAATTTTTAGCTCTCATGAACATATTTTTTAGAATTAAGGATGCACGTAAGTAAAATGGGAATGTGTTCGTGAGGCCGTAGAAGGGCAACAGAGCGGGGGGAAGGGGCTGGAGCACAAGTGTGAGGAGGAGCAGCTGAGGGAGCTGGGAGTGTTTGTTTTGGAGCAAAGACGGCCCAGGGGAGACCTTATCGCTCCCTACAGGTCCCTGAAAGGAAGGAGCAGCCAGCTGGGGCTCAGGCTCTGCTCCCGAGCGATCCGTGACAGGACAAGAGGACACAGTCTTAAGCTGTGCCAGGGGAGGTTGAGGTTGGCTATTAGGCAGAGTTTCCCCACAGAAAGGGTGATTACCACTGGAACGGGCTGCCCGGGGCGGCGGTGGAGTCACGGTCCCTGCAGGTGTTCCAGGAAAGCCTGGAGGTGGCACTCAGCGCCACGGTTCGATTGACGCGGTGCTGCTGGGCCACAGGGCTGACTCGGTGACCTGGAAGGCCTTTCCCAGCCCGGTGGATTCGGCGGTTCTGTGAACGCGTGGTTCACCGATTCCCTGGCTATGCCCAGAGCCCGGGCGCTGCCGGTAACAAGCGCGGGAGTACCCGGGCACGGCCGCCTCACAGGGAGGATGTTCCCGCCTCAGAGGGAGGACGTTCCCGGCCCCGGGGGAGGCGGCCCCGCTCCGCCC